TGATTGATTGATTGATTGATTGACTGATTGCTTGCTTGCTTGCTTGCTTGCTTGCTTGCTTGCTTGATTGCGATTGATTGATTGATTTATTGATTGATTGATTGAATGATTGATTGGTTGGTTGGTTGATTGGTTGATTGGTTGATTGGTTGATTGGTTGATTGGTTGATTGGTTGGTTGGTTGGTTGATTGCTTGCTTGCTTGCTTGCTTGATTGATTGATTGATTGATTGATTGATTGATTGATTGATTGATTGATTGATTGATTGATTGATTGATTGATTGATTGATTGATTGATTGATTTTCTTGCTCATTATCTCGCTTGTTTGCTTGGTTGTTGTTTGTTGATTGTGTGTTTGTTGTTTTTTGTGTGCCTGTGTGTCTATGTGTGTTTGTTGTTTGTTTGTTTGTTCGTTCGTTCGGTTGTTTGTTTGTTGCTTGTTTGTTGGTTTGTTTGCTTGCCTGCTTGCTTGAGTGCTTGCTCGTTGGTTTGTTGCTTTAGACTCTTATGATCTTGGCTTTAGTTTGCTATGTTTTGTAATGAGCACAGAGAGACGCATCAATAACTGGAAATGCAAAATAAGTCACTTTCAAAATACAAAGTACTGCAAGTTCACACAGTCCTTCAAAAAAGACAATGGACAAATGAATTCTCACAGTCCCCTGTTCTACAAAAAAGGACGGCCGCCACAGAAAGTCACAGACCCCCTTTTATGACACAGAGGCACCCGCTTGCCACGGCTTCACGGTTCTCTCTCTTGGCCCGCGGCAGGTCGTGATACTACGTCGGTGGGCACCAAGTCAGTATGGAAGCTCTGACCTGTCCGACTTTCGGTGAAGTCGGGCTGGTAACGAGTCGATTTTCCGATCAAGAAACACGTACAAAGAGCAACAGATGATGGTTTGGCCAAAAGACTTTTCGAAGCCCTTCCAGCTGGTTGAGTTGGATGTAAACGCGCTGTCCAACGCAAGTTGGGAAGCACGCCGTCGGCGGCCACTCTTTTGAGGGCGAGTCCTTCGATGCCAACTCTGAAAGGGAAGTGATTGGCATGCGAGTCCGAGGACAGTCAAGCAACGGGTGGGTTCTAAGGCACTCCCCAAAATGGCTTAACGGTCTTCCTGTTGGTTTCCCTTGAAGCACCAACCAAGGAGTACCAACGCAGAAAAAACACACAGACACACAACTCAAGCAAACGGGGTTTTACACACCACGCTTTTCCCCACAAGAGGCACACAGTGCACCCTCACACCCCCCGGCAACCGGTCGATTTCAGGGCAAGCGCGCACATGTTTGGCACAAAACTCATTCCCGCCCCCACGCTCGGTGTCAGAAGCGCACACCATAATAGGGGACGTTCGTGCAAAAAACGTCGCCCGAAACCTCGGCACCCGCCTGCGCAGCCTGTGCGCGACATCTCCACACTCAACACTTCCTTGTCCTGTCGGCGGAGGATGAGGCCGCTTCATCCATGGCCGACACTCGGACAGCTGGGGGATCCTTGCAACGTCGTTTTGCTGTTTGTTTCTTTTTAAGGCAAATGCCCAAACCAAACGGAAACTAAGAAGATCCTGGGATGACAAATTCGGAAAGCCCTGACGACTTCGCCAAGCAGCGTGAATGGCCGGACAAGGTGGCCGTTAGTCATGACGCGTTAGTCAGGGCCACGTGGGTTCAGCGTCGCCAGTCACGACTTGAGAGAGCCTTGGGGCTGCACAAGCGATTGGAATGCGCGTCATAAAAAACGGAGGCCCACGACACACCTTGCAAAGACAGAGGCAGAGAACGAGACAGAGAGACACAAAGACAAGGTCGGAGATGGAGACAGAGAGGCAGAGACAGCGAGGCAAAGAAAGGGAGAAAGAGACAAGAGAAGAAAGAAGGAAGAAAGAAAGGAAGGGAGGACGGACAGAAAGAAAGAAAATCAAGAAAGAGCGAAGAAAGTAAGGATTGAAGGAATGAAAGAACGAAATGGCAAAAGATAGACAACAAAGAAAATAAATCCAGAAGAAAACAAACAGAATGTATGGGAACACAAGCAAACACAGACAAAGAAAAGGAAACAAATAAAACAAAAAAGCACAACAATGAAGAAACAAATAAAGAAACAAAGCAAGAAAGAAACAAAGAGAAGCAGAGCAATCAAGAGGTTGGGACTCTCCGTGCTCGCGGGCTTGATGCATGCGTGATTTCAGACAACAATCGCAACAAGCGCAGCGACGACCCAAAGCAATTACAATCCTCCGAAGTCGAGCCAAGACCTTGATCCAGAGGAGAGGAGAGGGAAGGGGGAAGGGGGAAAGGGGGAAAGGGGAAGGGGAAGGGGAAGGGGAACGGAAGGGAAGGAACACTCCCCTCAAAACCACGCCGAAGTTTGGTAGAAAGACCATAGCTATCCGACCATACAAAAAGGGGTTGGCCTGGAAAAAAAAAAAGCAAAAGCCAGCTCAAGTTCGGAGGCTTGGTAGATATGGTCACTGAGCAAATGCCAGGTCCAAAACATGAGCCAGAGATATAGGTGCATCTTGTGTCCCGGGAGGTTTTTCTTTGGGGCGCTTTGACAGGAAATCGGAGGCCACGTTTCCCATTTGACTAAGCCCCCTGCACAAACTAAAAATATGCCCTGTGGTAGATTCCCTTTAAAACCAAAAAGAGAACATACAAAAATAGTCATTTCAGAAAATTGAAACCACCCACTTGAAGGCTTGCCCAGAGACAACCCCATATACAAAAGCTGCACGCCCGTCCTCCTGAGGCAACTCTCGGTTGAAGGCATCGACAATCCCACGGGCGTTGGCCTCGAGCAGTCACCAGGATGCGCTGGGTGAATCATACACGAAAAGGCGATCAACCGCCCGTGTTCCAGGGTGGCTCACACATGTCTGTATAATATTTTAGTAGAATATCAGTATACGTAGTACAGTATGTGAATCTATATCATTATATATATACTATATTCTGCAATACCCGCGAAGACAAACCAAGCCAATGCGTACGCGTCTTCAATCCGAGCTTCCCATCCGCAGATCCGGCCCAGCCGATCCTTGCCTGCGCCATGCATAAGAGCCGCATGGCGGCAATGGCGTGTGGGCCTTGGCTTTAGAAGTAAGGTTCAAGTGACTCCTGGCGTGTTCAAACCACTTACCTGGGCTACCCTCAGATCCCCTGCTAAAAGTTTAACTTTTCGTGGGTTACATAAACAAAAAAACACTAAACCGTAAAAAGCTAAAAGGCTAAGGGGATGGCTGGGAGCCACCAAGTTACCCTCCCACTCGTTTCACATGGGTTCCTGGTTTGGATCATCTTCCTTAAGGGACCGGGGCCCGAACGTCGAACGGTTCCATGTTACTTGGTGGGAGGGTAGTAAGTAGGAAACGACCATAGTTACAAGGGGACGATCACCCCAGTTACCCCACTGAAAGTCCATGGTTACCGACTTAAGTGGGTTGAACATCCAGCTCCTTTGGCTGAGACGGCCCAGGAACATAACAAAACTTTCCAAACACCAGAAACGAACAGAACCACAAACAATAAAAAAGGCATGGCCACCAACTGTGAACATGATGTAAACCCAAACTTGCTAGGACAAACAGGTGAGACGGGCTGATTGAAAATGCGAGGCTTGAAATGAATGAGCTCCAACCTTCACCTCAAAGATGGTTTTGCAGCTTGGATAACACCCTACAACAAAACAAGCAACGGGTTCTAACAAAATGGGCTCTAACATGGAATCTAACAGAATGGGTTCCTTCACCTTAAATGGGTGTATCTTTTTTGGAGTTGGTACCCCGTTTTCTGGTGGTCTTAAAAGAAAAACAACAGGAGCACCGAAAATCACCACTATTATTATCATTAATATCATTTTGGGGGGCGGGGGCAGGGTGGCAGGGGGGCAGGGGGGCCAAGCTTAAACGAGCCACCCAAATGGGTTCCTAGGGTTCATTGCGAACCTAGGCGTCCAGAGAGTTTCAACCGAGTAATAGATTTCCTTAAAAACACCACAACGGAACACCTGCAACATGGCTGTGGATCAACACTGGGGCAACCCCCAAATGGGTTGCCCTGATAAATTGAGGCACAGACTCAAACCTCTGCTCCCTGGTGGTTTCATCTTGACCCATACCTCTAGGGGTAACTTCCCCATTCTTTCCAGGGATCCTTCTTTCTAGAAAACCTCCACAAACCCAGGGAAAACGGATCCGGAACCCCTATAATACCCCTATTCTGAAACTGCAAAACGCTCAGGGGCAGCTACTGTTGACATTCGAATCGATTTGGGAGCCCGTCCACTTGGTCCACTTCGTCCCAGGGCGGAGATCCCCGCCAATGGGCCGGGAGTGTCCCCAACCTGTATGAACAGAATGGTTGTTTATTCATTACTCAGAGGCCCAGTAGCCATGGGAAAAAAGAGGGGCATCCGAGTTTTTTTGGGTTGGTTGACTTGAAAGGGGAACCCTTCCCAAAAGGAAAAAAGGGCACCACTGGGCAACTGGGATTAAGACTAGATAAGTTTTACAGACCATTGTTTCAACAGTGGCAAGTACCTGACTTTTCGCAACGCGGCCGCAGTGTCCGAGCAGTTCTTTGCAGGATTGAACATGGTCCCTTTGCATGCAGTTCACGCTCGTGCTCGTCAAGTCAACGAGTGGCAAGTCACTGATATGGCCATGGGTCAATATCCCGTACCCCCAGTGAACATCCCAATCCCCACTAAAATGGACTAAAATGGGTGGTGCACCTACCCCAAAATGGTACCATTGGTTGTAACCCACAGCCATATTTCTGTGGGTGTGATTTTGAGTTGATACCCTTTTTGCCATGTGAGAAGAACCACAAGGAACCATAGTGCCAGGTGCTGGGGAAGGGCTGGCTAGCACTGGCATAGCGGCTTGGGAGGGGCTCTTTGTGCATGCCTAGGCCAACTCAGTGAGTTGAGGGCCAACTCACTGGGGTTTGGTTTAAGGTCCACAGAGTTTCTGGTTTATCTTCCAGTTGTGTGTTTTGCCTTGGACGAATGACACAATCTGTCCAGTGCTAAATCGATTCCCTTCCAAACCAACAGGTTTAAACATCAACCGTCTTCATTTCTTCAAATGGAGGCTATGGCCCCAACCAATCCCCCCCCCCCAAAAAAAAAAAAAATAAAAATAACTCACCCCAGGCGGAAGCTCACATGGGGCTCGCTCAACCCACCCGCCCGTTGGGGGCCGATCGGCACTTCTCCTGGAGTCGTCCCCTTGGTGCCCGGCCACTGGGCGGAGGGCCAAGGGAAGGCACGTGGTCAGACCAGCGGTACTTCAAATACTTCTCCATGACCTGAAACGTCCGGCCCCACTTGGCGAACAAGAAAGAAAACCGTAGGAACCAGTGGTATGAACCCTGGAGCCCTAGCGTGAACTGGCTCTTTTTGTCTGAATACATACTTTCTGTTGAACCCCTGGCATGAACCCGGAATGATTCTGGGTGAACTACCCGTTAGTTGCGGCGTAGTTGTGGGGAAAGAACCCCCCCTGTCAGGGCCAAAACCGCCATTTTTTTTTTGGCTTCTCTCCAGCCTTTGAGTCAGACTCCCCACTTGGGTCAAACAAACAGCCCAAGCAGCAAGTGTTCCATCCAGTCCCGTAGCTCCCGTAGCTCCGGTGCGCCCGGCCGGGGGTCCGAATCCACAAAGACACACCCGCTTTGGTGGGGGTACATGTTTACCAACTGTTTGCCTGATGTTTATGTGTGTTTTTGAAAACAAGGGTAGGGACCCAGAAATAAGAGGTCTGCCTTTTGAGGCCATGACAAAAAGCATGCCCAGTATGGAGAAACCAAGGCCAAAGGGTCGATGCGCTTGGGGCTTGGAGGCTGAGATGACTTGGCCATGTGCCAAAGTCGGAGTTTCTTGAAACGCTGTTGCACATATCTACCCCCCCCCCCCGCTCCCCCCCGCCAAAGGACTAATGGAAAAAATGGTCGAGTTTGTCCATTCCTCACAACTGATCCTGTCGGATCACCAGTAGTGGCCACACCGGAGGAGTCCAGAATAACCAAAAGACACCACAAACACAGAGCTCCAACTCACATTACATCCCCAACTGCAAACCCCAAGGGTTGCAACAGGAATTTTGCCTCGGCGGAATGTGCTGTATTGTTTTTTTTTGGGCTAGGTTCGGGAGGCACTAAGATGTGGCATTCTTTGCAGCATGTGCTGACAAAATGCACCTGTGTTGCACCAACAGCGTCAAACTCCCCTGCATCGTTTTTAACACCAGCATGCTGTTGAACACCAGCATGGTGTTGAACACACCCCCGGCGTCACCAGAAGCTTTGGTCCAGGCTGAGTTTATGGTGGGTTCAAGGATTGCTTGGGGTGATTTCGGGCGGAGCTTGGGTTGCTTTAGGGTGGTTTTATGTGGTTTTAGGTTGGCTTAGGGTTTGTATAGCAAAGGTTCTAGGTTGGTTTGGTGCTGGTTCAGGGTGGGTTTAGGGTTGGGCTTAGGAGGGCTTAAGGTAGGTGCAGGATTGTTTAGGGTGGGTTCAGGGTTGGTTTAGGGTTGGCATAGGGTTGGCTTAGGGTGGGCTTAGGGCTGGCTAAGGGTGGGCTTAGGTTTGGCTTAGAGTTAGTTTAGGGATGGTTTAGGGTGGGTTCAAGGTTGGATTGGGCGGGTTTAGGGTGGGTTTTGGATTGGCATAGGATTCCTTAGGGTTTGCTTAGAGTTGTTTTAGGATGGGTTCAGCGATGGCGTAGGGTGGGTTTTGTTGTCTAGGCTGGGTTTAGTGGGGGTTTGGGCTTGGTTATGGTTTTGTGCTGGTTTAGTGTGGGTTTAGGGTTGGTTTAGGGTGGGTCTAGGAGGTTTAGGCTGGTGTAGGGATGAATTGGTTTGGGTTTAGGGTTGGCTTCGGGTGGGTTAAGGTTGGTATAGAGTTTCGTTTAGTACCGGTTTAGGTTGGCATAGGACTAGGTGAGTTTAGTTGTGGCTTAGGGTGGCTTGAGCAGTGGTTTAGCAGGATTAGCAGTGTTTCAGGGCGGGTTTAGGGTCGAAAAGCCCGCAAAAGCCACGACAGAGCCACCGAAAGGTGAGTTGAGGGGCTATGGATTTGCTTTTTAAGCTTATGACAACGCCGAACAAGGGCCCTGTAAGCAAGACCAGGGGGGTGGGGGCAACCGACCGGCTACCGATCCAACCAACAAAAACGAACCAAACCAGCCAACCAACAAAAGAAAACAAACAAAACTGACAAACCAAACCAAACCAAACCAAACCAAACCAAACCCAACCAACCAACCAACCAAAGAAACTAAACAAAACTAACAAACCAAACCAAATCAGCCAAACCAACCAAACCAAACCAAACCAAACCAAACCAAACCAAACCAACCAACAAAACAAACATACACTTACACCAGGCAAGCAGGCAAGCAACCAAGCAAGCAACCAACTAACGAACAAACAAACAAACAAACGAAAACAAACAAATCCAACCAAGCAGGCAGGCAGGCAGGCAGGCAGGCAGGCAGGCAGGCAGGCAGGCAGGCAAGCAAGCAAGCAAGCAAGCAAGCAAGCAAGCAAGCAAGCAAGCAAGCAAGCAAAACCCCCCCCCCAAAAAAAAAAAAAACAAAAACAACCAACCAACCAACCAACCAACCAACCAACCATCCAACCAACCAACCATGAAACCAACCAACCAACCAACCAACCAGCCAACCAGCCAGCCAGCCAGCCAGCCAACCAACCAACCAACCAACCAACCAACCAACCAACCCACAAAACCAACCAACCCACAAAACCAACCAACCCACAAAACCAACCAACCCACAAAACCAACCAACCAACAAAAACACGCAAGCAAGAAGAAGACCAGCGGCAATACCCAGCAAACCAAGCAAACCAACATCAAGCCCTCGCCTGCGTCTCCGTCTGCGAGGCGATGCCCTCGATGAACTTGAAAGACTGCAAGAAGCTGTTGAGCACCTCAGATCGAAACGAGCGAGTCACTCGGTGGCGAAATCTGAGCCCTGCGAAAAGTGAATCACTTTTTAGTGGTTTTAATGGGGAGCCGAGCTGCAAAAAGTGAGACATTTTTTGGTTGGCAAACAACTTTTAGAGGTTTCAGACGGAAAACCCATTCATTGGTTGGCATATTTTTTTACTTGTCCTAACATCCCTTAGAAATCCTTTGTTCAGGGCCCCCGAAGGGCCAATGGGGCCAATGGCCAAATCCCAATAGGGGTCAATAACTACCAAGGCCTACTAGAGGCTTTTTTGGGGGGTCCGGTTCCACTTTGGGGCACTTTGAAGAGCGGATCCCCAATCCGCCAGCCCAAAACGTCTTGAAAGTCCCCGGCTCGGGTTCGTTTCAAGCTCATGGAAGCTCCATTTGCCGCTCGGCTGAAGCTGCTGAGCCAGTCTGAAGGGCCCGGTTTAACCACGGGCCCAGACTTCACTTTTGTGGAGCCACCCAAACTCGGCACTTGCCAATGGAAACCAATTGACTCATCCGCGAGTGTTTGGATATGCGCCATGGAGAGGTCACCGGGGGGGGGGGGAAGGGTGGGTGTGGGGGGGGGATTGGCGTAGGCTTCATCGCCACCTCCTTCTCTGCAATCTTTGCTGTATTTCTAGTAGCTGAATTAAGGGATCCCCAAGTATGGAGAGCCAAATGGAAAACGCAACATGTTTGGGGTCCCTCAACAAAAGACAGACCCACATCCATGATCATCCTTCATGTTTAGGAAACCTTAAGATCCCAAAGCCGAAGATCAAAGCTTGGAATATGAAATCCGAGGATCCCATGAAAGGCTCCCTGTTTTTCTGCGTCAAGGCACCCTTTCCGTGGCATCGACTCGTTTTGGCAACAGCGGAAGACGAGTCGAGGTGTTCCAAGCTTCCCCTCCCCCGCTTTCGAATGGCGCAGTTGGAGTGAGAGGATAGATTGAACATTCTAGGGCTTGATTCCTTTTCCATTCTTTTCAGTTTTCTAGAAAGAAGGATCCCTGGAAAGAATGGGGAAGCTACCCCTAGCAATTTTCAAGGCGCCGACACACATAACCAGACAAAAATAAAAATATCGAAGGCAGTGACACATAGCAAAACAAAACATGGCAGGGCTGCGTCTGTGGTTGCAGATGGCGTTTCACTTGCTACGGGGTTGAAGCACACACGCACACAAGTTGCCACTAAAGGGGCCATCGTAGCTTCTATGTTACGCAATCAAAGGTCAATACCTGTGCAAGAAATGTCCCATGATCATGACATGATTTGGGCGTGTCTTTTTTTGAGGGTACCCCCTTTTTTTGTTGTTCCAGAGGGAAACCAACAGGAACCCAGCCATTTTTTTTTGGGGGGGGTCCCCTCAAAAAAAGACGCCCACCACCCCGTTCTGATCCTTCAGGCCGTTTTCGTCAGAGCTTGGTGAAACCGAGGCCGGCACATGCAGTGGGAATTTGATCACAAACTTCTCACACCCCCCGAGGGGTGTTGGTTCAGCACCCGCCTGAGCGCGGGGAGAGAGATGGGAACAACTCTTCCCCAGCTGCCCTCCAATTCTCACTTCCTGAGATTGGCGAAAAACAAGTCCAAAGTTTAAAGTCCATCAGGAAGTGGTTATTGGTGGATTGGATTTGTGGGTTGGTGGTTTAGGAGGGGTAAGCCCCATTTACCTTCTACAAAAGCCAGGGCTTCCAATCCGCACAGGGATACCTGACTTCCCGTTTTTAGAGAGGTGGCAACAAACAAAACTCGTTGCCTTGAATAGCATGCCTCGCGTTTTGTGCTCGAAGCTCCAAAACAAAAAGATCCGTTTTGTTTCCGGTCGGCCAGAATGCTCTTTTTGTGGATCCCTGGTTGATCCATAAGGTTAGAAACCTCTTTTCATAATATTCTACAGGAGATCCACAAAAGCCGGGCCCAAACCGTATTCTAAGGCTAATCCGAAAAAGGAAGGACGAGTTGCCATAACCCTGCGCACCCCCGCGAAATACTCATGTGGATTCCCATTCGGCGGGTTGGTCCCCTG